AATGGACACATTCTACAGATTTGTTTTATTTAACTACATAAGCCTAAACAAAACATTTCCATTTTTATAAGAAAATAAACATACACAGTTTGTTTATTGCATTTTATTGTTTAAATACATTAACATACTGTTCCTCTAGTGAATTTGAAGCAGGTGGAGCTAAAGCTAGGCTACCTGAGGAGTTTGGGGTAAAATATATTTACTGACGAAGATGTTAGTTTTTATCCTAAATGCAAAATTAGTAATGATTTGTTGGTTGAAGAAAGGTGAGATAGACGCAGTGGATCTAGGTAGTAGAGAAAACGATGGTTTAATGAGGAATATTTTTTTTCCTCCACACACAAACTGTTTATGTCGGCTGTTAGCAAATTATGCTAGTCCACAAAATGGAGAGCAAAAGTTTTTAGAAAACACAAGTCAGTTGTTCAGCAATAATTTAATACTTTTTTAAAAATAGTATCATCTGTCAAGGATTTATTACCTGACTGATGTGAATATAATCACAAAACTTTGATCTTTTTGAATTCTCCAACTAAAAATTAACCAAAGCATGAAAAAACTAAAACTACAACTAATAAAAACTAAAATAAAACTGAACAATATTTAAATAAAAATAACTAATAAAAACTAGCAAACACACTCTAAAACTCTAATTTAAAGCAAAATTAATTAGACAAACAAAAAGTCACAACAAATTAAAACTGAACTGCAACAAAAAACCACCTAAAAGAATTAAAAGCTCAAAAGTAAAGACATACAGACAAAATCTGGTTAATGCTGCTCAGAAGATCAAATAATCAGACTAAAGTTTTCAAATGCAGACACTATCTTGTTTGCTCAAATCAAAGTTAACAAAACCGCTAAAACCAAGTTTATTTATTGTGGTCACCTCTTTCTGCCTGCACCAATCGACAGCTGTAGAAGCTAAAGCAAATAGGGCAGAGCGAAAATCAGGACAGATCCCATGTCATTGCAAGATTTCACCCTCCCCTTCCTCCCGAAACCCTCGCTGCGGGGAACGGCTCCTTCTTATCCATGTGCTTATGAGATGAGACATGGGAGAAATGACCAAGCTGAGCAGCTAGGTCAGCCTCGTTTGGAGTCTGGGACCTGGAGGTCTACCAACAGCTGCGCACTTAAATCTGGAGTCTGATTTAGCACAATCTGCTTCACGCCTACCATCGCAGTACCTGACAAGCATCTCAAGGCTTCAGATGGGGATTCACAAACGTGCCTGACAGTAAAAAATACATAAATAACGAGTTATATGCTAATATGGAGCCCTGCAAAAGATCCTGCCCCTTCCTCCCTGCTCCCTGACAATGGTGGCTTTTCCAATGTAACATGATAAATCTTAAATACACGCCTGATATTTTAAACCTGGACTAGATTATTCTCAACTAACAGCAGAATAAATCCAAGTGTGTGATTTATGAAACCTTTATTGTTTGTGAAATTTTTAGCCCTCGTTTTGCATCTGCATCACATAAGAACTGAACTCTGAAATTTCATCATTTTTCATATTGTATAAAATTTTAGCCTTTTGCTTTCTCTCATAAAGATGCTGAAGGAAGTGAAAAATTAGGTGAAATTGCCCTCAATAATTCCTTAATATTGATTAAAAAGGCACTACTTCCCCTGGCAGATTGCTTCATGGGAAACATGTCTTGTTAAAGTGAAATAAGCTTCCAATGGAACTACTTTTTCTTAAATATTAATGAATTATTGATTTAAAACAAGCTCCTATATCTTGCTGAAAAATTATTTGTATGAGTCAGTTTTATCTTCTAGGATATTTCCACTAAAACAGCAGAATTACTTGGCAACGTTTTGTGTTTTTGCAGTGCTAAAGAAGCACAAATGTTTGTGGGTCTATAACTTCTGTGACACATTCAGTCATACAGTTACCTAAAAAAGAAGTAATAAATACTTCCTATCAGCACAGCATTGTGCTAAAACTGCCTGTTAGCATTTACATGCAGACTGTCCCTGCGTCCATGCTGCGCGGTTAGACGAGCAGAGAAGTGGAGCCAGCGGTCGTCTGCAGTGAAGTTGTGGGAGGAGCAGTGAGGGTGGAGGGGTTGGCCACGTCAGCCGGCCCCGGGAGCCACTGACGGACGCGGACAAAAACCGCCGCAGCGCCAGGCAGAAGCCTCGGCACAGAACACGGGGTGGACCCGGGCCAGGACCCAGCAGACCCGCCCACCGGCCAAGCCCACATCTCCCCTCCGCCTCACTGCGTCCACAAGGCTTCGCATCATTTAATGTAACCTTCAGACCGGGCTCGGCTTTACAGAGCGAGTGGAAAGTCATAGTTTACAGTTAGATTTTTTTATCAGCACAGATGAAACAAACAGGAAGTCACTCATACCAAAGAGAGACCAGTCAACCAGCTAACAGTCACGTTTTAGGACGGTGGGACGAAGGATCCATAGAAAACCAACACATGAAAGGCAGGACATGCCGACAAAAAAGATCCCAAACCAGGATTCAAACCCGGACATTCTTACTAAAAGACGCTGTACCTGCCTTATAGCTTTGAGTATATTCCACTAATGTTGAAAAAAAAAAAAACAATTGTAGTGTTTCCATTAAGTAAGAAACATAATTAAAATCACATGTGAATAAGTCATTTAAAATCCTCCTACAACTTCCTGTCGTCTTCTTCACAGTTTCTATGCCAGCAGCATCCTGTTGGTGATCATGTGACTTGTGATGTGAAAAAAGTGAAGCAGTTTTGTGAAATAAACCAATTTCAATACAGCCAAACCAAACCACCTCATCCTAACGTCAAAACGTCTCATTGAAAGGCTAGTTTGTTTTTCTAAAATTGCCGTATTTCCAGTAAATATTTGGTGAATGGAGACACAGCTGGTGCTACCTGTTACTGCTAAAATGATAATATACAAAAAAAGCCAACTGAAATAAAGTTTATTTTATACATTGCTTTTATTTTACTAATACAGGGATACATGTTGAAGTGAAACTCCCCTGCGAAAGCATAACTATACTGAGTATAGAGGTTAACGAAGGGCAGTAAGCGAGGTCAGGATCAGAGAAACACTGTTGCTAAATTATAAACTTCATTATATTTAGTGACTTTTCAGAATCCAGTGGTCAATTTTTATTTTAAAAAATCATGCTGGAGACAAATTTAGAAACTTTTTTTTGTGTCAATGGAGACAAAAAAAAAGTTTTAGGCAAAATGTTGCAGAACTAAAGAAATTTAACAAAAATGTCAAAATTCTGAGAAATATCAAGAACCCTAAATAACCTTAAATAACCGATGTAGACAGTTTATCAGAAAAGAATTAGATTTTGGGGTTAGTTAGACTTTTACTGTCCATTGTTTTATGTTTTATTTCTATTTAAAGGTGACCTAAATGCTTCTTAAACAGGTTAGAGTAGGTCTATGGGCTACACAAAACATGTTTATAAGAATTTTTACACAAAATCATTCTTAGATGCTGAGATTTTAATCTGCTCACTTCTGCATATTTTATTGCACAATTATATAACCGTACATCTTTGAAAAGCAGTAGTAGAGCCTCCTGCACAACCAACAAGAATGCAGCAAATTATTTCTGGATGGAAAGTCAACAACAAAACTATTTTCCAGCAGCCATTGTACAGCACATACAGCAGTAAAACCAGCTGACCAAACGTGCTGGAGCTCATCTTGGGTTGCTAGGGAACGGGCTAGGCTTTGCTGGGGTTGCTAAGTAACAGGCAGTGCTTGCTGATTTGTTACTTTACATTCCAGAAGATTTTGAAACAGCTCATTTACCAGACACCAAAAAAACATTAATTTATTGCCAAAAAACATCTGGGTGGTTTTATTTAAAGCGGTTGGTCTGTGTTTAGACACAGTAGAACTCCAAATGGAAGTACAAAAACATACAAAATGTGAATTTCACATAATAGATCCCCTTTTAAAACACATCATAATTTGCCAGCCTCGATTCTTCAGATAGTGTGGATGTTCAAGTACAATGAGAGAATAAAAAATAGGACACATGTTGACATGTTACAGAACCCATTTCTCTGCTCTGCGGCCGAGCCAGGTCTGATGGGATCTGGTGTTTTCTGCTTCGCCAATCAGCTCTCCAGCTAAAAATGTATTGAGAGAAAAGTGGGCTTCTATGTACAACTGGGGGCTTTCTGAGCACGAACCATCCAAATCGGACGATCGTATCATCAAACCCCTGCCACCATGTTGGGGATTGTGCTACTTTTTGGAGAGCTGTGTCCTATTTGTGCTTCACACTGCGGCTCTGCTCACTGGAACAGCAGCACATCCAAGAGAGGAGAGGCGGGAAATGTATACTAAATGCACCGAGTAAAGCTCTATTTTATTCCCTTGAGCTAAATACATGAGCTAAGTGTTGCTGATAACTGGAAACTGTAGTCTGACTCATTTTGACTTGACTGGAAGTCCATTTAGAAACTGAAGGTTCGTACAGGAAACTCACTTTAGGCAGTTATTAGTTTTAAATCTAAAGTGGCCACACTTTAAGTATAACAACACAAGTACAGAGTGTATTTTAAACAACAATATATGTCACACAGGCTAACATTAGTGTCAGCCATAAAGGTCTGTTACATGGAGATGGATAGAAAATTATGTCTGAGGCTACAACACCAAAACAGGCCTTAAATCTCAATTCCGATTTAAATTTTTTTTTTTTTGTGGATTCAGATTGATTGATTGATTGATTGATTGAGTGGTCGTTCACACTTCCAAATATATCCGGTTTACCTGATCTCCTGTGTGAACTGCAAACGACCTGAAAGTGCCCCGCATGCGCAGTAGAGAGCGTGCTCAATGTTTTGCCAGCTGCCAAAAAAAGAAGAAGTGCTCAGTGTTTGCGGAAGTAAACGTGGATGCAAATGGTGGAACGTATCTTACGATTTTGAAGTTGTCTTCCAACCGGAGGCATCAAATTAACAACTTAATCCTCATCATCATCCGCCATGGATGTTGTTTTTCTTCCCGCTTGCGCAGAATAATGACGTTTGTCGCATATCAATGATGTTCGCCGTACAGCCTGAAGTCACGTTTGAAAATATCAGATATGTATGGTTTTATTTATTACGATCCACTGTGATCGTAGCCTTGATTAACAATGACAATAGTAATAATTATAAAGCTCATGCAGCTCAGATGAATGTATCTGTGTTAGAAAACCTCTCTCTATTTGCATGCTTGGTGATGTTGCCGTGGTGACAAAAATCCTCTTTGGTCAGACAAGTGTGATAGCACACATTTGGACTGTGGGGTGAAGCTCTGTGGATTGTGAAAAGCTGCAGGACGAGCACAAGTCATCTGAAATTTCATCATCTTGTCAACAATGTTTGATGAATGAAAACGAAGCCTGTGGACGATCCTGAGGGGACATTACACCTCTTAGTATCCAGTGGAGCACTAACTGTGGATACTGCTGGGAATCACACAGCAAAGACCCTTCCAAGGGTAATCAGAACAAGGAAGTAGGAAATAAATTTAATGTAAGCATTAAATATAAATTTATATGTGGGGGGTGTTATTTGTAAAGTTACACTGTAAAAAATTAACATTAATAATTTGGGTTTGCACCATTTATTTAATCACTTACAAATATCACAATGCCAAAGTAAACATTTAGTTAGTAACCTAAATATTTAGCACCAAACTAAACATGTAGTTGGCAACGCTTATTATTTAGTCAGCAAGCTAATTAGGTAACACGTTGAGTTAGTAAAGCAGAACATTTAGTTAGCAAGTGAAATATTTAGTTTAAAACTAAACATTTAACTACAAGCTAAATAAACAAGATTTAGTTAGCAAACTAAATATTTAGCACCAATCTAAGCGTAGTTGGTAATGCTAATTATTTAGTTCATAAGCCAAATAGTTAAACTAAATATTTAATTAGTAAAACTGAAAGTTTAGTTAGCAAGCTAAATATCTAGTTTGAAATTAAATATTTAGCAGATAAGCCAAATATTAAGCTTTAAACTAAAAGTGTAGTCAGATAGCTAAATATTTAACTCCAGACAAAACATATAGTTGGCAATGCTAATTATTTGGTTAGCAAGCTAAATAGTTGCATGTCAATCATTTAGTTAGTAGAACTAAATATTTAATTAGCAAGCTAAATATTTAGCTTCAAACTAAATATTTAGTTTATAAGTTTGATGCAAATATTTACAAAATGTTTAGATTTCTAACTAAATCTGAATCACTTGACTGAATAGAACATAAGAAACTAGAGAGTTTTTACGAATCTATATTTTATGGATTGATTTTTATAGCTTTCATTGTGTTTTGGTTACTGTTCATTTTATTGTTTGGTGAGATTGTAAAGTAGGTCCATCAGCTTTTTTAAATGTGTTATGTAAATGAGAATAAAGGTGAGCACTTTCTCATGGAGGCACACAAAATTAGAGAAGTAAACAAAAACAGGGTAATAGTTAATCATTTATCATATTAAGCGTTTTCTATTCTTCCACACTTTGTCATCAAATTTGCTTTTCATCACAGCAGGGGAGCAATTAGCAAATTAGGACCAGCTGTGAGGAGAAGAGCTGAAGGCAAATCTAAACAAAACTAACAAGGAAAAACAATGAGCTCAAACAGTGTTTAGTTTTCAAAGAAACCAAACACAAATTCACCAAATTCATTAGAGCTGAGATCAAACTGCACAAAAATCCATAAAACCTAGCAGCATCTCTCATTAAGGTCAGAACAAAGTGATAATAACCCTCCATTCTGGACATATCAGAGTTTTTATGGATATGCTAAAAGCTGCTGGTGCACAGGTTGGGACTTGAAACTTCTTTGACCTTTTTCATCATGTTTGATTATGTTTTATGGGTAATTTACTGTTTGCAAGCTTGTTTTATGTTTTAACTTTTTTAAAAGCACTTGGTACTGCATTAGCTTGCATGCTGTATTCCTGAAGTTTGACTGAATAAAAACATAATGCAGTAAGAAGCAGCAGAAAAGCTGCTCCAGTAAAACGCCCACTGGAAGCTAGAAAAATAAAAACACAGCTTGAAAAAAGTCTCAAAAGAAAACCAAGGAGATAATTAACCAAAGAGGAAAACACAAGAACATGGCACTCTACGGAAATATATGTTTTAATTTTATTAGGGCACAAACAGCTAATCGGATTAATCAATGACTGAAATAATCATCAACTGATTTAGTAATTAATTAATTGGTAACTGAAGTATATAAACCCAAAAATACCATTTGTTAAAGAACAGTCATAGTAGTAATTAAGCCAAAACTGTACAAAAGAATATACATTTTGAATTTAAAATAAAAAAAACTTACCTTCTTTGTCTGTAAATATGTTCTATTTTCTCTTTTTACTAGTAAGCACATTTTTCTATCCAATTATTAATCAATTAATCCAAGAATTATCAGCACATTTCTATGCATTTTGGCAATTTTTTTATTTTTACTTATTTGAATTTTTATTTATGTGTTTCTGATACTGTGAAGAAAAATGAAAATTTTGCACATTGTGGCCATTTTTAAAAATCAGATTAATTGATTAATCAATTCATAATTAATTATTCATAACTAAAATAATTGTTAGACTTTGTAAATCAATAAAAGAGATAAATTGTTAGTAATTATACAAAAATACATTTGGAAATTCAGAGTTGCATGGCTGCAACATATCATGAAAATAGCAAACAAGTAATTTGTTTTGAAATGTCTCTGCTAACGAAGGTCCAGAGTTCAATATGATAATAGTTTATCACAGAAAGCTCTCCTATCTAAGCAGTGGTGTGTAAAGAGCTTTCAGTCCCAAGCAGACAGAACAGAGGAGAGAGGAAGGAGGACTGAGTGTTGTGTGGGAAGAATGTTTACACTTCACAAGTACAATGCCATCTGTCCGTCTGTGTTAGCGCATGTGTCAGGCTGCATCAGACGCAGCCTTTGGCACGCTGGAAAAACACAGCGACATGTTGCACATCAGCTACATGGTTAGCTGTTGGGTTTTTGTTAATGGAGCAGAGGACGCAGCGCAGAGTGCTGGACGGTTACGACTAAGTGAATTATTCTATCTGAAGGGGAATCAGCTGATCTGTCCTCCCGTTGTATTTCTCCACAGAGCAGCGAGTGTATAAACAGATTGATGCGCATTACGGATGAGCGCAGAGGGAGACGTGTCAGTATATCTGTGTGTAACATGATTTAAACATAACCATAACATGACAGCTGCTCATCTGTTCGGTAGCTGCAATTTTCACACAAAATGATTTAATAATGTCATCCTAGCTTCATGTTCTGCTGGCAGAAGTATTCATACTTTCCCTCCCGTTATGTCCCTCCAGGATGTTGCAATGTTTTTTGTGATTGTTGTGACCTAAAATTACTGATTTTGCAGCAACCTTTTGAAAAAGTTGCACATTTTATAGGCTTTATTTTTTTACATAACATGGTCTTGCAAAAAAGTTGAAATTGCTGCACATAACCTCCCCTAAAAAAGCAGATTTTAACATAAGACTGTTTTTTTTTCCATCTTCCATACTACGTTTGCTTTCTTCGGCACACTTAAACCAATTTAATATATGAAAACATTCAGCTTTTAAAATATTTTAACTTTTCTGCACATTTCAGCTCCATTGAAATACATTCAACTTCTTAAGAATCCCTCAAAATTCAACAAAAACTTTGTGCTCTTTGACCATTTACTACTTCTGCCTACTTCAACTTAGAAACTCCATTCAACTTTTAAACAAATCCCAAGACACGTAGCCATCTTCAAATGATTCAGCGTTTGGATATCTCTTATGGTTTTTCTAAAATTGTGATTTAAGTTTCATGCAGATTTTTGTCCGTTTTTAGTTTTTTCAATGTAATCCAATGACGCAGTCAGAACGCTTTTTCAAACTTCACTGATTTTTAACAAACAAATTGCTGCTGTTTGCACATATTTCACGCTACAGACATAATTTCTGCATCAGAACAAAGCCACAGGCGTCTGCTTTGAGGAAATATAAACATCAATTCTGTCTCACAGTTTTCTTTAAAACGTCCCGAAGTGCAGGATGTCACCTCTTCCTCCATTGGGCTCCATGTAAAATATTGTCACCTCTGTCTCTCTCTTCAGGTCTTACACTTTTCTTTAATCAAATCTGTCAACTGAATACTTACATAAGGTGTAAATATGTAAATTTGCCTTCCATTTCACAATTATACACATGCTGAGTTCTGGTATTAGATCTAAAATCCTAACACAGAACTGGAATGTGTGAAAAGTCTCAAGAGTCACTGTGAAGATTATTTTGTCCCAACAGTTTCAAAAACAGTTACTGAGTTTAGAGAATTTTAACATTTATTTAAAGGATATTTTTGCATGTTTAGAACAAGTAAAGTACATAAAATGGAAACTATTTCAGTGCATTTTAATCCCCTTGTCTCTGTTTCACAGGGTTAATCTGTCTGACTTTCCTCAGTTTCAAGCCAAATGTAGTGAAGAAGAAGAAATATTGGCTAAAACAATATATTTTAGTTCACCTGGTCGTTAAAAATGGTGTGTCTGAGCACATATGCATCTTTCCTGCAGGCACAGATGCGTTTCTCCTCCAGGCCATCTTGAGTGAGTGTGGAGAGACATTCAGGAGGCCATGGACGCCTCCCAGCAGGCCTGGCTTTACGCTGCAGACTCTCTGCTGCTCCTCAGCCTCTCAAAGCCTCTGTGCGCTCTGACAAAACGCGATAAGCCGAAGGGCATGGAAATTTCTTCAGGACTTAGAAAGCTGCCTTTCTGTCTCAACCCTTCTCAGGATAACTGGAAGACAACAGGAGTCAAAGTTCAGCCAAAGAACAAATTCATATCCAGACAGAAACTTCTGAACCTGTTCTGGAGACATTAGGAAACCAAGTTTGGATGAATGCACTGCAAAAACACAAAATCTAACAAAATTAACTTGCAAGCAACTTTTCAGCCAGAAATAGGAGACTGTTTTAAGTTAATAATTCCATAACATATATATGAAAATTCCTAGTTTCACTGGCAGATTATTTCACTTATAACAGGGGGAAATGTCTAGTTTATAAATAAAACAAAATGCTGAAAGAAGAAATCATATGTATTTTGTTTGCTGTGCCACCCTAAGAAAAAACGAAAAAAAAAAAAATTATTTTAATTTTTAAATTATGTATAATTTCTTTTAGCTGTACCATCCTTACAAAGACAAAAAAAACATTTTTTGTGCAACCCTAATAAAAAAAAAACGTCAAAATCTTTACTCATCTGGTCTGGCCACCCCGCTCTTGCTCTGAAACGATCAGGATTGGAATGAAAATCTGTTTTTATTAATAATTTAATAAGCCGTCATATTGGAAATTATTTGTATTCCTCTTAATAACCAATAAAGTAAATATTTAATAGTCAGACAGTAATCAGAATAATCAGAGGGATTGGATTATAGTAAATAATACAACTCACACACAGCTGCTGAACTGAATCCAAATATTTTAT